CATATCCCCTCTGAGGCACAATTTTTCTGAATTAAAGAGATTTAAATTTGTTAACCTTTCTTCATAGCTAAAATGTTCCATTTCTTTTACTAATTTTGTAGCCTGCCTCTGCACTTTTTATAGTGCCATAATATCCTTCTTTAGAACAGGTGCCCAAAATTGCACCGCATATTGACTATGTGGTCTTACCAGCGATTTATAAAGAAGCAAAATTATATTCTCATCCTGAGCATTAATGCCCCATTTTATACATGACAATGCCTTACTGTCCTTAGCGATTGTTGATTGACATTGCCCATTGTTGCCTAGTTTGTTGTTTATAAAAATTCCCAAATCCTTCTTGTGTGTTGTTATCCCTAATTTGTTTCCATTTAGGATATAAATTGCTTGTGCATTCTTGATGCTGAAGTGCATAACTTTGCATTTTTCTACATTAAATTTCATCTGCTATTTGAGTGCCCAGTTTCCCAGTCTATCTAAATCCCTCTGCAGCAAAGTAATATCTTGCTCAAATTGTATTACTTTACAGAGCTTTGTGTCATCTGCAAACACTGAAACATGACTTTCAATGCTTATTTCAAAATAATTTATAAAATTTGTTTTTTTTACTAAGTTTCTTTTCCTGGTTTAAAAAATGTACCCACACTTGTGCTGTGCTGCCACTATATGCTAGGAAAAAGTAGACGTATCTTTTAAGTTATAAAGTGTTTTGTAGAAGTCTGAGAAGACATTAGTAATGGCTTTGGGATTGTATATTTTATTCTTGCTTTCATCAATAATAAGTGATTTTAGATGCAGTCTATTAGCCAGAAGTTTACCTGCTTTATTCCTGTTAACATAAAAAGTTTGCTGAACAGAGTCTACAGGAAGGAGTTTTTCCCCCAATAATCTTTGTGCAATTTGTTTTTAACGTTATCTGTTGTAAGGTATCAGGAGCTGAATCAATTTTATGTTGGGTTTCAAGAGTTTTCAATTTGGTATGATATACGACTTTTGTAGCATGGCTAGTTCTTTTAAGTTGAGATGATAACTTAAGTAATAGAATCATTTCTAAAGTTAAAGGCAATCTTTTAAAACCGTTTTCTTATCATGTTATATGCAATGGAACGATCCAAGCGGTAGGGGCCATCTGCTCCAGTTGACAGGCAGGGAAGGGCACTTCCATTCCATCTGTCACTCTTTGTAGTCTATCCAGGTCTCGTGTGGGCACACTACAAAGAGTGACAGGGCACCTCCATCCCACCTGTCACTCTTTGTAGTGTGGCCGCACGGGACCTGGGTAGACTAATTATACTCTGCACAAGTCTAACAGGGAGGGATTTGGAACAACGACACAGGGAGCTGGAGAGGAGCATTGAAACCCAGTGGCTAACAGCCATACCCTAACAGGGTATGCAGGAACGAGTCCCTGTTTCTGCACCACTAGACAACAGAGAGTTATTGGAGTTTGCAGGCCCTTCCTCTCTTGTGTCCAACCAGCACCTCACACCCCCAGATGTTGCTGAACTACAACTCCAATAATTCCCTGGCTATCTGTTTCATTGAAAGAGTCATGCGAGTTGTAGTTCAGCAACATCTTGCCAGCCGCAGGTTGTACAGGCCTGTTAGACATTCTTGTGTATATTACTCCTGTTTGGCAGGATTGTAGCAGCCATTCATAGGCTGCATAATTTTAAACACTGCTTGCTGTTTAAAGCAGCACTGTCACCCCACCCCACCCCACCCCCAAAATAGTATTTTATAAGGGTAAAAGTAGGGACTACTTTATCTCTATCTATTTATCTCTTTTATGCTGATTGGTTTTAAACAGAATTCTTCAGCAAGCTGCTCATCAGACAATAACACTGTATACAAGTCATTTATTTATATATATATATATATATATATATATATATATATATATTATATTTTAAATAGAGATGCACTCTTCGGTCTTTTAAAAAAATGAAATAGTATTTAATACAGCAAAGGGTTTACAGTCATCCAATCGACGTTTCGACCCGTTCCGGTCTTCCTCAAGATCTTGAGGAAGACCCGAATGTGTCGAAACGTTGATTAGATGACTGAAAACTCTTTGATGTATTAAATACTATTTCATTTTTTGAAAAGACCAAAGAATGCATCTCTATTTTATAACATATATAACCTCAGCGTGGGATTGCACCAGGGCATCTAACAGACTACTAAGTTGCCAGTAAGGGTGAGTGCCATTACACTTGTATTATTTATTTATATATATATATATATATAGCAAAATCCAAATAGGTTATGGTGGGGAAAAATTGTGATTGAAAACCCCTTCCACCTGAAGTATGTGGATAGTTAATACAATGCTAAACAAAAATCTGCACACCAGTCAAGCCATAAGACTTGCTTTTCCCACAGAAATCCCAAATCAGCAGTGATGTTACAACCGCAAAGGATTCTGGGTGGGCATATGCAAATTAGTTTAACAAAGAATCACATTTTTGCCTCATTCCATTTTAAACATGGATTCCTTTTAATTTGTGTTTGCAGTATACAACTGCTTGGAACACAATTTAGGATAAGATGCAAAACCAGTGAACCACTCATGGACAGCTGTTTCGTTGTTAATGCAACTCTTCAGCATGAGGTTGGTTACTGGTTTGCTTATTGAGGCTTGGTAGTGCTTGGGAAGCAAAATCCAAATAGGTTATGGTGGGGAAAAATTGTGATTGAAAACCCCTTCCACCTGAAGTATGTGGATAGTTAATACAATGCTAAACAAAATCTGCACACCAGTCAAGCCATAAGGTGGACTGGTTTTCAATCTTTTTCCCCACCATAACATTAACTATCCACATACTTCAGGTGGAAGGGGTTTTCAATCACAATTTTTCCCCACCATAACCTATTTGGATTTTGCTTCCCAAGCACTACCAAGCCTCAATAAGCAAACCAGTAACCAACCTCATGCTGAAGAGTTGCATTAACAACGAAACAGCTGTCCATGAGTGGTTCACTGGTTTTGCATCTTATCCTAAATTGTGTTCCAAGCAGTTGTATACTGCAAACACAAATTAAAAGGAATCCATGTTTAAAATGGAATGAGGCAAAAATGTGATTCTTTGTTAAACTAATTTGCATATGCCCACCCAGAATCCTTTGCGGTTGTAACATCACTGCTGCTTTGGGATTTCTGTGGGAAAAGCAAGTCTTATGGCTTGACTGGTGTGCAGATTTTTGTTTAGCATTGTAATATATATATATATATATATATATATAAAATAAAATGTTATGCTAGTTAATACTGGTACATTTAACATTTTTTGCATTTTTTTTTCCTAGAGCAAGAAGCAAAGAAACGAGAAACTAAGCACATTTGCTTGGGCATTCGCCATCTTGAAAGGAGTATAATTGTTTTAATTAATGGACAAATTCACTGTAACTACAAATGTGAAGTATATAAAAGAAAGTAGTACATGGTTAATGTTTAGTCACCACACGTAATAACCCAAGTAAATATATGATAAAAATAAAAATGGTCATATCTCAATCTTTCTTTATTATGGTGTGGTAAAAATTGTAAGTTAAAATCATACAATCTCTTTTAATGCTGTCTTTGGGATATCCTGTACATATTTTACACAACTACTATCTCCTTGTGTTGAATTTGAGTTATACAAACTTTTAACTAATGGGGTTTTAGAATCCTCTTCAAAGTTACAAACACCACAAGATAGGTGCATGCAAGGTGTACCAAATACTAATTAAACAGTACAGTGTGTGAGAGGATTAACACAAACATACCAGGCAATAGTCTGGCCTCAGGTACTAGCATTACATCTAAAAACCGTTTATTTAACCATAAAAGATAAAAACAAACAAATCATAGGGTAACATTTTGCAGTAATATAAAACATAATGTTGCATATAATTGAAGTTACTGAAACAAATTGGGCTGTGGATAAGCACAGCTAGCTTGTAATGGCTTTATACGCCCTCTGTGGGTATTCCTACTGCTAATGTCCCCTGCATGATGAGGAGCTTGATGTAAATAAGACCCCATCAATGTAAAGTGACAGGTGCAGTCTGGAAAATAGTGTGAAAATAGAGTGCCGACTGAAAGTTGTGATAAACAACAAAACCAAAGCAATGCTGTTCGCAGAATCAAGCTGGCAATTTAAATCCAATTGGTTAAGTAGCGGGAAAAACCACCTACATAGATCAATTGGACACACCTCTCTCAATCCTTTTAATAATTGTATTTTATTGAAGGTTTTCATAGTTATAAATCCAGTACATAGTTACAACTCAGTGAATATAGACATGAATACAATCATCTACACAGTAAGATGATATAGCATAATTGGAGCAACTGAGGACTACATACAGTAGAAACGTGACTTGAATCGGTGAGGAGTTAAGTCTAATCTGAGACCTTCAGTTAGCTACAAGATGGTATGCATGTGGATTATGTAAAGATAACATAAATCATACATAACAAAGGTATTTACAAAATGATACATAAAGGCATGAACTAGTTGGTACATTATTAGGCATCTACCATGTTCTCCACTTCACGTTTGTCAGGTAGTAGCACCTTATGAGGGAATGTTCCCCACAGTATCTCCCTCTCCCTCCCTGGCCCATTTAATTTGTACCATTCCCTCCTCCATTGTACCTGGTTTTCCATACCCCCACGTCTCGCTAAACTGTGCGGTTGCGTGTGCAGATTCCCTGGACATCCTCTCATACACATAAAACTGTTGTACTTTATCTTTTAGCTGTTGGAGGGATGGGTAAGTGTGTTTCTTCCAGTTTAGCGCGATCAGGTTGCAGGCTGCCATGAGAACCAGTGTGATCAATTGTTTGTGGTTCCTCTCTACCTCCCTTGGGAATAACAGAAGGAGGCAGGTAGTGATAGTCATGGGGAAGTCCCGGATACTCTAACAGGTCCCTGACATCAATGTCCACTGTCCATTTCCTCGTGATTCTTACAGGTCAATGGTTTGTTTGGTGCTAGCTCCAGCCAAGCTTTATAACATAGGGAGAGGGCTTTGGGTTTCATCGGGGCCGTCCAGCACCTGTGGGGCACCTGTCGTGCGGTCAAGGTGGTTGGGAGTGGGTGTAAACGTGACATGTGTATTGACCGTGTGTTTCAGCTGTAAATATGGGAAGATGTCGCCCTCAGGTACCCCACATATCTCCCTCATGTAAGGGAATGGTAAAATTGTTTCTCCTTTGCATAGCTGGTGGATATAGGATATTCCTAGATGATTCCACCTAGAGAGGGGAATCGTAGGATTCACTGTCAATGAGCCCCTGGGGTGGAACTGTTTTTTCCGTCCCATATCTTAACAGTCACTGCCGTAGTGGGGTACAGTTTGGGCCGCGAAGGGTTCTTGGGGTCCATAGGAGGTCGGTTAAAGTTGGGTGTCCAAGCTGGTCTTGCTCCATGTCTACCCACTGGACCTCACCTCCCTGGGCGTGTAGGGCTCTTCCCGTTGCCAATAGTGATACTTTATAGTACAGTCCTATATTGGGCAGATATCTTCCGTGTGTGTCGTCTTTTGTATGAGCTGCAGATGGCTTGCAAAGATTTGCAGAGTGTCGCGGGGATTCCTATTGTAAGCATTCAAAGAATATAGAGCAGTCTCAGCAACAACATCATCTTATAGGCGTTCACTCTCCCAAGCCATGAAAGCTTTGCATTTTTCCATTTAAGGGTTTCTGTTTTGCACATCTGGATAAGGGGCTTGTAATTCAGTTTCACTATGCTTTCAATGGTAGGAGCGATATAAACACCTAAGTAAGTTATGGATAATTTCCGCCAATCTAACTTAAAGGTAGTCTTGAGGGTGTCTATGGTCGCCCCGGGTAGGCCTATTGGTAGGGCTTGTGTCTTCTCCTGGTTTAGGCAATATGAGACCCCACCATATTCTAGGCAATAGTCCCTACCCTTCAGGTTTATGCCCTGTATGTCTGAATGTAGTCTGATTTTCCGAGCTAGGGGCTCTAGAGAGAGAATAGAGAGTAAGGGGGACAGCGGGCAGCCCTGGCGAGTCCTGTTGGAGACGTGGAAAGTTCATGAGAGGAAACCACCGTGGGAGACCTTGGCGTTGTGTTTAGCATACAGCTATGGTCGCCCCGGGTAGGTCTATACTAATGCCCGTAATGATTTCTGTGAGAAATTTGTATTTGATGAGTACTCGTGACATATAGTTCCAGTCTATCGAAGGCCTTTTCGGCATCCAGCGCCAAGAAAAGACCTCCATCCCCGCCACTACATTCAACTATTTCTTGGAGTTGTCGGAGCCCTGTCGGCCCCGTACAAACCCTGATTGATCGTTATAGACCAATTTATGTATGAGTGGGGCCAGCCTGCTGCTGAACAGTTTTGCATAGATCTTGGCATCGCTGTTGAGCAAGTAGATAGGCCTGAAATTTTTGCATTGGTCTGTGGTTTTGCCTGGCTTGGGCAAAGTAGAGATGTGAGCGAGCAACATCTCCTCTGGCAGGGAGCCCCCTACCGCACAATGGTTAAACAGGTCTCGAAGGGGCTGGGAGAGGATGCTAGAGTATGTGTGATAATATTTGTTAAATAGGCCATCAAGGCCCGGGGCCTTATGTGACGGAGGCAATCTCCTCCGTGGTAAACGGGCATCATAGTTGCTCCATATTGGTAGCTGATCGGGTCGGGAGGTTAACGTCTGATAGGAATGTGTCTATAGCTGCCGTGGAGGGGCTGACCATCTGTGGGTCGTCTTTCAAGTTATACAATCATTCATAGTACTGTTCAAACTCATCCACAATCCCTTGTGGGTCCAGCATTTTGTTACCCTTAGTGCCCGTAAGGGAGGCAATCCTGGAGGCCGCTGCCTTTTGTTTCAGTTGAGAGGCCAATTTCGCCCCTGCTTTATTACCAGCAGCGAAGTATCTATCTTTGAGTCTCCGTGTGAGAAATGTAGTCTTGGCCAGTTCCATGTCTCTAAGCTGTGATTGTAGGAGTAGCAGTCTAGCGTGTGTGGACGCTGTTGGAAAGTGTTTATTAGTATAGGTTAGTAAGGTCAGTTCAGAAATCACGAATGTGCATTTCTCTAATCACTGCTTTTTGCCGTAGCTAGCGTGTTTAATAAAGCAGCCCCTGATGTAGGCTTTGTGTGCCAGCCAAATTTGGTCGAGAGGTGAGACTGGGGTTGTATTTTCCCTGAAGTAGTGCTGCAAATCCTGCTCTATGTGATTGATTATGTCTGGGTCGGAGAGCAGCTGTTCATTTAATCTCCAGCTGCCTCTTCCCATGTTGGCAAATTGTTCTTTAAGAGTCAGAGTGATTGGGGCATGGTCCGACCAAGAGATCAGGCCAATGTCGGTGTGCTCTATCCTCATGAGAGAGGAGGTGTGAAGAAAGAATCTATCTATTCTTGAATAGCTGTGGTGCACCGCTGTGTGGCACGTATAGTCCCTCTCTGTGGGTGTGTTACTCACCATGGGTCTGCGTGCAGTTTGCGGCATATGCATGAGGTTTGTTTGGACCTATGTTTCAGTGTCTGGGTTGCCAGGTCTGGGCCCCGGGAGGGAGTCCAGGTCACTGTCTAAGAGAAAATTTGTGTCGCCTCCAATGACTACCTCCCCGAAGGCACGGACAGACACCAACATAAAGAGCAAATCCACAAAATCAGTATGGTTAGCATTAGGCCCATACACATTGATAAGGGATATGGATTATTGTTCAAATAACATTGCAATATAAGGTACCTTACCTTCTTATCTCCTACTTTATGCACCAAGGAAAAGGCTACATCCTTGCTGATAAGGATGGACACTCCTCTCTTTTTTGTCAAGTAGCATGAGTGATAGTCTATAGGGAATGCTGGGGAGTTGAATTTAGGTCGGCTGCCCCATTTAAAATGCGTCTCCTGAAAAAACTCTACATGGGCTCTGAGGGACTTCGCTTCGCATGAGGCGAGGTTTAATAGGGGAGTTCAGCCCCTTGGCATTCAGGGAGCAAAACTTAAGCAGGATCGTAAGGGTGGCAGAGGTTGTGGGCTAAACGAGGTGGAGGGGGGTTGCCTTCTGCTAGGGGGCCGGTCAGAGGTACCAGCTCCCATTCAATTCCGGTATAGCTATGGTGACAGTGCCATCGCATGGCGGAAGTAGAGGACTCATGGTCTGTGTATTTCCTTTAAGGCTCAATCTAATTTTAATCTCAAAAATAAGGTAAGTAACTATGTACAACATTCCTTTCACTTCAACACTGTGGTGCAGCGGAAGGGGTAATGGTTGCAGTCGTGGTTCTGGTTCAGAAGCCACTGTGGGGGTGGTTAGAGGATTAATAACAATAACAGTATGACTTGCGATGTTGTGTGCAAGTGGCAAAGGCTGTATGTCGCCCTTCTGAGTGTGGTAACAAATTGAGTCCGGCAATATAATATAAAAGGAACTAAAAATTGTAACAACAAAATTGTAACAACATACCTGTCAAGTTCAGGTATGCCCGTGGGCGGTGGTGGAGCGTGGCAGTCTCTTCCATTCCCTGATAAGCTTCGTTGGGGACCTTCCAACTGGAAACTGTGAGCATTATGCAGTCCTTCACAGTGTAATAATGCACTCAGGTGATAACGTCCCTAGGTACTGTAGCAGGTAAGTGCTTGGGTTTCGAGAGGCAATGTGTGCGATCTAGCAGGAGTTCCGCTTCAGTCAGCGTGGTGATATAGGCCTTAAATGGTTCCTGTATGTACTGGGTTAGGCCTTGCGGCTTAACAGTCTCCGGGATCCCCCGGATTCTGATGTTATGTGGTCACAATCTTCGTGGTCCACCACTTTTGCCTCTAAATTTTTAAGCCTTGTGAGGAGAGCAGAATATGCCTCTGCCATAATGTTATGTGCGTCTGAGATTTCCTCCGTCCGCTCCTCCAGCCGCGCTCTTCTATCACCCAGGGACATCCAGATCTAATGTCCAACACAATCTGTTTCAGGTCAGACTGAAACAAGGTTTTGAGGTCTAGGAGCATGGTGTGCAAGTTGGCATTGGTGACACGGTGATGCATGTAGTCAATGCCCTGGATAGATTCACCGGCATCAGAGCACGAGGCTGGGGATTCAGGTCTCTCGGTGCCATCTTGGTCTCCAGACCCGACTTTCGGTGTCGAATTTAGGTGCATTTGGAGTGTTTTTTGTTTGTTTTTTTATTTATTTTAGTGGTCATCTCTTCCAGGAGGTATTGCCCCGTGCTGGGCGAGATTGCCGTCAATTATACCGCTGTAAAACACGTGTGTACACCCTGGGACGGGAGAACTCCGTGCTCAGGCGACCGCTCTCATTCACTGCTTGGCCACGCTTGGCCTCTCTGTCTTAACAGATTGTTCACTCTGCTTATCGAGTATCCACTACAAGTACAAAAGTGAGACACAGGAGCTAAGGTGCTTCATGTGTGTTTATAAAGTAAAACATTTTGTCACACTAGACTGACTTCCAAAAAAAAATAAAAATAATGCATATAAATTAAGTTGTCTCCAATACTAGACCAAAGAAAATTGTAATTTTCTTAATATCCCAAATCCCTATGCATATTTAAATAACTGGATTTTTTTAGTATCACTCCAATGGCCATTCAAGTGTAAGCTCACTTGCCACGTCAAGGGAAACCTCTTGAGTCCTACACTAACAATTTACTTTGTTTTTTTCAGCTTCAGTTAGCATTGTAACATGGATGTGTAATACAGGCATACTTAACCTCGATTATGAAAAAGCCCAACCTTGACCCCAATTCCCCGTCCAACTATTGCCTTATCTCGCTACTGCCATTTGCCTCCAAGATCCTTGAGAGAGTTGTGTATGCGAGATTAACAGACTTCCTCAAATCCAACTCTCTGCTTGACCCACTTCAATCTGGATTCAGCGCTCATCATACAAACAGCAGTCACCCAGACGGACACTTAGAACACTGCGGTGAAAAGTGTTATAAACTGTCAATTAGGCTTAACAAGCTCATGGGTGGTCTCTGGTTCGTGCGACTGTTCAGGAACCAAACCATATAATCCCAATTGCACGAACAGCCTTTTAAAAGTATTTTAGCAAGGTCTATTGCAGGGGGCCATAGTCCTGAGGCAGGAGGCTTGCAAGCAGGCCCCTCCAAGAACATGTGGCAGAGGCATTTCTGCCACACATCTTTCCCCCCAACGGAAGACTAACCAGGTACCTGACTTGCTGCCGGTCGGTACCTGAGTTAGTTGGGCAACCCACCAAAAAACAAATAGTTGGCTCTGTCCTGTCTGTCCCAGGTTGCTGTGTGGGAGTATGTCACACCCGGTCTCTCCTTTGCTCCCTTCTGGTATCTCCAACTGTGGTTGGGGATCTGGGCCGGCTGCCCTGTAGGGGCGGTGGAGAGACCATGGCCCCATCTCCAGATGCTGACTGGGGGTCTTCCCAGGATCAGTTGATGAGGTTGTCTACTTCTG